TACTGCACGATCCTTTCGCTTGTACTTTCTGCACGAGAGAAGGGAGTTTCGCTTGCGGTAACCTAGCTCGTGTGAAAATGTTAGTCGATAGCTGAGTAGTGCGCGGCGCCTGAAATTTGGGTTATATTTGAGTGCAGCGGTTCAGAGAGATTTCGCTGCCCGGTGAACAGCTGCTGTCTCAGCCCTTCTCGTCGTGGGAGCTCCCTCCCTTCCCCATGCTTAGGTGCATGGGTATACTGCGCGCGAAAGGCGGTGCACGATAGCAGCGATTCACACGAACTCCCAAATCTCCTCGACGTAGTGAATGAAGTAGGTGGAAACGTGTTCTTGCACCAGTAAGCTGTGCTCAGAACTACTGTGACTCTGTGTTACCCTTTTCTACCTCTTGTCATTGCTTGCCACAAGCATGTCAACACAAAATAAAAAAATTGCCTGTTTGCTGTAACGACGCTCTAACGTACTGCTCACGGAACTCCGCCCCTCCACAGGATGGACCTGCTTGGAGGCGGGTTGGTCGTGTGAAAGACGGGTGGCATGCTGCAAGAAGCGTTTTTCATCGAAAAGAATTATGCCTCACTAAATATGTGATGTAGGGGTATGTGGCAATCGTGGGGCATTGCCGGATTGCCACATGCGTGGGCATGTCTGCGACGCCGCTGGTACGGGTTGTTTCGTTTCATAGCTCGTTCAAACGGCCAAAGGCGGACATACGGTTGCCAGCAGAATGTTGATCAAGGACGCAAGTAACGCAAACTCCTAGCTTTAACGACAACTCGTGGATACAGTAGTGCATTCCTTGAACTGTCGCCCCATTCATCGCACGCGATGTAGGCGGCATGACCTAAGCAGCTCACAATAGAGTTTCCCGTCTGCTGTAATAAACAGCCAGTCTCAAAACTGCACTAAAAGATGTCAAGCGACATACTACGTTATGAAGGCCTGTTCTCGCGCTGTCTTCAACCCCCTTCAACTCGCAGCAAGGGAAAGGTGCTGCGATAGAGTTAAAGACAGCGCGAGAAAAATCCGCGAACGAAAGTATATCCAAATCTATTTGATATACTTTCGCTCGTTATAGGGACGACTGCAGGCGTTGCCGCTCACGCAGTTCGATCATCAACGGGACAACAGGTACTGAAGGTGACCCTGTATTGCCTGCTGTGTGGGGATTCCCACCACTAAAGGGGCTGTTAAAAGGAGCTGCTAGCGCTCACATTTGTATTTTTTTGAGTAGGGCACTCATGCGTTGTCCTCCCCATCTGCACCATGACCTCGCCTTTTAGAAACGTGCAAAGACTGAACTGTACAGTTGGTAATTCGCCTGTCGAAGAAACTACTGACTACAGAAGGGCCAGAAAACAAGTAGGGATGAGAGAGAACGTGATAATCGCGACTTCGTAGTGTGAAGGCTCTTAGTTTCATTTCAAATTAAGATGTACAAACCTTCACTGATGACGTTGGCATAACCTTTCTGAGAAGAGGTGAAGGTGATCGCTTCTTTAAAAGATGATTGATGAGGAGCTGTCGGAGAAATCCGCGCTGATACATGCGTTCTTTGAGGTGGAGGAGGTGGAGACACCTGCGGAGACAGAGTGACCCCTTGAGCTGGGACAGCTATGGAACGTCTGGGCAACAAAGCAATTTCCTGAGGCGGAGGTCGTGGAGAATGTTGTGATGGCGGTTCCCTCCGCAGTCGGTGATCCTGGAAAAGGAACACCTTTGAGAACGAACAAAGGCTGTCGTAAGATTCGTGAACTGCCAAGTTTTCCCACCCAGCAGTACACATGATTTCCTGTTTCATCGTGCGCTACCTGGCTTTCGCGAGTGTTCCCTTCTAATTTCTATCATTCCACCTGATGCCCCCTCACACAATAGGGGGTCTAGCATGGAAGTAGGAGCTCATAACTGTTACATCTTCACTAAATTTGACAACCGAATCCCCGCTATGTTGCTTTCCCATTTCGCTAGCGGTCACCCACTAGCGAAATGCAACTTTCTTTCTTACCTTCCTCATGAGAGGGCAGATTGAAAGGCAAACTGTACACTTCGTGGACACTCGTCCTTCCCATGAATGCAGCTGCAGTAGCGTGCCACTCTCACCTCTCAAAGTTGGCGGGAACGAGGGTGAATGGTAAATAGTAGTGCCAGGATCCCGTCTCCTGATTACCACCCGCGCTGACGCCGGTCACACGCTTCACCGAAGCTAACTCGCTACGTGCCTGCTCAGGCAGCGTTCAGACTTCGCGACGGCAGCGCTTCGGTCGCGCGATTCGACGATCGATGCGCATGCTTTCGACTGCATCGATCGCGTCAAACGCGCGAACGAAGCGCTGCCGTCGCGAAGTCTGTGCCTCATGTATGGCCGTACTCTACAGCTGGAACCGTGTTTCGCTGCGGGATCTCGGTACTGAAAGTGCAGTAGTACTTGTGTGAGGATAGCGTGGGCGGAGTTTGGTGACGGAATCCAAATAGCAGCAGCACCCTCAGAAATAAGTGCATGGTTTTCCCCTTGGTGTACCTACCACATCAAGCCCGGTAGGCTCAGAAACGCACGGAACAGTTCAAAGGAAAGAGAACGAATGTCGCGAATATCACCTCTTCTGAAGAAGCCATCCGTCTTGGCGACGAGAAAGAGACATCGTCCTGAAACACTCACAGGAACTTCTCGTATGTCGCTGAATATTTAGTTTTACCTGTGTAGGCTCTGCCGGTAAAACCGTTTCATATAGTGGCTTTGTGATTTCAATAACCTGAAAAGTGATCGTACATAAATGATACAATGAGATTTGATTCAAAGTAAGCATACCTTTCCTATGAGTGGCGGCGTGTGGTGCTCGGAAGAAACCTCGTCCTGAAACACCACCTTTCTTTACAAGAAATGAATTGTGCTTTCTTTTATTGGAAAGCTATCAAGTGTTTTCAACATTGCGCCGGCTCTGCACTATAGTACGTAAGTAAGTAAGTAGTAAGTAGTAAGTTTGGGCAGGGTTCATACTACACTATGGGAACTTTTCGGTCGCCGCTGTCACGAGCATGCAAACGACCGTGCCCGGTCTCCAATAGCTGGACCGCTCCAATCAGTGGCTTGGGACCTTCTGCTTAGGTACCCTTCCTGATGCTCCTTAGCTTGATTCAGGGCATTTGGCTTCAAAAAAGGGAGAGGTTGATGAAACAAGAAATTCAGCCCGCGACCTCACTCAATTTTGAAGCTCTTCGGCCACAACTGATAGCCTTCTTTCCGGATGTAGTTGTTAAGAAAATCCTCTCTGTAGCCGATGACGAACTGGTGTCATACTTTTTTGATTGTCTGCTATTTTTGCCTATACACCACACGGCCGTCCCTAACAATTGCGCTCGCTGATGTGACTTCATGTTCTGTGAGTGTGACTGGAATCCCATCAGTTAATTGTTTTTTGTTTTAGTTGGTCACGAACGATAGTCATGATCCCTGCAAACGATAGGGCGTGTGGTGCTTCGGTAGGGTATTGCTTGGAGCGCATCTAGATCATATTTCAGATCAGGTATCTCATCATTGGGTGAAAAAAGAGCGCCCGGGGTGCGCTGCAGTCGGCGCCATATCACACGCTCTGTCGTTTGCACAGGATCATCACTGTACCTCTTCAACCTGCCCAGAAACCTTAGAATAAGCAGCTCCACAGCTTTGCCTTCAAAGGCCTTAAAGGCAATTCCCGCGACCACACTTCATAGGTAATACAGTTCAAAAATAGAATTGCCCTGTGGTTGTTGACTTATTGAAGAGAAGGAACCACGAAAAAGCGCCCGCAATAAGACCCTCTTTATTTCAATTGATCATGATCACCGGACGAGCGTAAGGTGGTCAAGATCGATTGTGGATTGCAAAAGGCGGCGATCCTACTATATATAATCCGCTAAGTGTGTGTCTGTGTGTGTGTGTGTCACGAAATTCATAACACCTGTCCCAGTGGCAGAGAAACGTTGATTCCAGGAAGTGATGGAGGGGGTGTGACGGGAACACCATTGGTGGGTGACAGGATGTGATATCAGTTGATAAGATTCGATAAGAGGCGTCCAAAGGGGATGGTCACCCAGTCCATAGTGCGGGCCACAGCAGCAGTGGGACGTTGGTTCCGAGCAGAAACAGTGGGTGGGACGGAGGAATTATTGGCGGAGGACCGGATGTTATGTCAGCTGACAAGATCCGATAAGGGGTCACTGCGTGAAGGGGGATGGCACGCCAAATTTGTAATCGCAAGTGTTACAGGCAACAGTGGGACTTTGATTCGAGTAGTGAAATAGGGTGTGGGACGGGAACATTGTATGCAGGTGACATGAAGTGATAGCAGTTGATAAGGTTCGATAAGGGGTCTAGGAAGGGCGAATGCAGCGCAAATTTGTAAATGGCAGGTTAACATGCAACCAGTGGACGTTGGTCCGAGAGGTGATATAGGACGTGATATGATGAGTGTATGGGACGGGAACATTATTGGCGGGGGACAGAAAGTGATAGCAACTGATAAGATCCAGTAAGGGACTTCGGGAGGTGAGAACCACCAAGTTGTAACGCAGCTTATAGCAACAGTAGGTCATTAGGTTTCGAGAATTGATATAGGTGGTGGACGGGAACATTATTGGCAGGTGACAGGGAGTGATAACAAGTGATAGGAGCTGAAAGTGACAAGTTATCATGGGAAAATCCACTACACCGCAGAAGTCTCTGGAATCTCGACCAAGAAAGCGCAGCCGAGAACAGTCTCGGAACCCTCTTATCCCCTTTCACCGCTCACAACAACAATGCGATCGATATGACTCAAGTATAACGATCTCAATGATTCCAACAGAACTCATTCCTCACTGCTTATTAGTAACGACATCATGTACGACCGCTAAGCTAGCTCTATTCCAAATGCATGGGGTTTGTTTACAGAGGATGTTATGAACAGCAGCAACTAACTTACTAACTTTTACCACATACAATTATCTTCCATCACAACGGCAGAGTGAAGGGCCATTCAGAGCGTTCAACTGCTGAATGCGGGAGTGCATTCCAAAGCAAGACGCTTTAAGGCGACAGAATGCACGAATCATAGGCTGAGTTGGTGCTAACCCTACGCAAGGCTGCAGATAATTCCGCGGTGTAGGTTAATGAATGCGTACCCAGTCGATCGCTGGCTATAGGCCGCCGCTCTCCCCCTTCTGTGAAGCGGGCGGCGGCAGAGCTGCTGGCTTCTGAGTGTTGAAGGAAACGGGCGCCTGGGCGTCCTTTTTCAGACTCTTGCTGATCATAACTTTTCGACTTATTGATGTCCCTCGCCTTTACAAATCGCTCATCTCTGCCTTCCATCAACTATTTATCATCTCGCTGGACACACTGATTCATCCACTGCTAGGCGCCATCATCGTTCCGCAGCGCGGTCCTGGTCGACAAACAAGTTTGGCCCGCATCAGTCTAATAACAGTAAGATCCCTTCCCTGCCTTCAGCAGAAGTAACGTAGGCTGAGCTCGCTACCCTCGCAAAAGTGGGCGATTTCTGCGATTCCATATGGCGCTTAGCCGCACAAACTCGAAGTCACATTTCTGTCGTTTGGCAGCCACCCGTGTGTTTGCTTTTTTCTCACCGGTTAGAATGGTATTAGCACTGATGGCCGCGCGAAAGATATAGATAAGTGAAGCTGGAGGCAGCAGCGATAGTGCGCTTGCTGGCATAAAAACAACGGTCTGGCACACCGTACCTGGCCAGAGGACTGAAGTGTGTTTTCCGAACAATTTTTCGTCGCTTTTTTCGTGGGCAGCATTCCACTTTGGGCCGCATTTCACATTGTCTTAGAAGTTTGTGGTTCCAGGAAGAGATATGCGAACTCAATTACCTGTGTGCGTTCTAAACAGCCCAGATCCTTGATTTCCGGTTCCAATTCCACAGCGACCTCCATGCTTCCGTTTCGTTAAGTATTTCAGTTAATAACTTCTAGTTGTCCTGAAGTGGGTGAAGCATTTCTACTGGCGAATTTCTAAAAGGCTGATGCACAAGTAATCTGGTTACTGGTGAAGACGATAGTTGGAATAGTAATAGCACCAGCATCTTGTCAGAAGGAGAGAGATAAGACTGAGGCGCTAACTGTGCAGGATCGAGGACTGAAGACGTTTCGAAGTAATGCCTACCTCAGCCTCTTAGGGTGCAATAAACATTGGATATCCCTGCACTCACAGGCTTAATTCTTATGAGTTATCAAAAAAAGAAAACGAGCAAAGATGGAATAACAGTGTCAATGCCCATCCCTCATAGTGGTCGTATACCCACCCGGAAAGCGATGTCCATACACAACAATTGTGAAGGTTAAGTCGCTAGCTTCTGAGGCCGAAGCGTGGCTTTTAAATGTATCACTTAGGCTTTGTGCTAGCAGGGAGTCCACTAAGCTTTAACCACTAAATTTCATGCGGCCTTTTCTGAAGAGTAAATGAAACTCATTGCGGCCAATGTGATGTGATGATGCCGCATCTCTGCTAAAGAGCAGCAGAGGATAAACCCCTCCACCGACCGGCGAGACTGGAGAATTGCTAGGAAGAACAACACCAAGTAACACTGCTTCTAATAGCTGAACATGAGACGGACTAGGCGTGGGCGTTCGAACAATGGCGCAGAAGAGGTTTGCTCGTGGGATACAAAGTTTGAGACGAGGCTGTCAATTTTGTTCAGTGTTGCCGAGAGACACGACCACAAACTTTGGCTAAACAACAATGTCTTTCATCAAAGCAGGGCAGCTACGTCGCTGTTTAGTGAAGTGGCGCCGCCACGTCTAACCACAACTCGAGATAGACGCAAAGGATTGTGTATGTCATGGCTATTGGTTCGAAGGGGTGACGTGGATATCCTATTGTGAGTTGGCAAGTTTTTGCGCAACAATTTAGTGGCGCAACAGCCTCTTTTTGCGTTCAGACATAACGTGCCATTTGAATATTATAGGAGAAATTTGTTCTTACTGGCGTAAAACAATGAGCCATAAGCATACAGTACATAAAAAGTTTCCCGATTATGGTAGAGTTTGCTCAGCTGTAACGAAGAGCTACCCCCCTCCATAACCCAATATAGCATCTCTCACACTTCTAGCTTGGTAACGATTTAGTGCTGAAGCACAGGGACACTGTTCAACCTTCCAATGGAATGCACCACGTAATCGAATTCTATCCAGAATCCTGGTGACATCTATAGGAAGATAGACCTGTGAAACAACTCTTTAAGCAATCTGATTACAGCTGCGATCTAGTTTCATCTGTACAATTGTAATTCTAGATGAATTCTTCTCTTTATCTTTCTTTCTAGCTTTTCTACGTTGTAGCTTTGTAGCACTTCAGATCCCTTTCTAACAACTTCTACAGCGCTCCTTGGAAAGGCTGTAGAAGTTATTAGAAAGGGAAGTCTGAAGTCTAGAAGAGCAGTAGCAGTGTCCTACAGAATGTCGCTACTGCTCTGTTGATTACCAAACACTGCATAGACGGCCCTCATCCTCTTCAGAAGCTCGCTCACACGCCCACGTCGCAGATTCCGTCTCACATGCTTGACCCTGACGGGTAGCCATACTAACCGTTAGTGGCTTACAACTACAACACTACGTTTGGAAGAGCAGCTTCGTTTTTTGACACAAGAAACTTCTATTCTGGAAGGACTTCTTCGACTTTTTGACACAAAATTTATGGAGTCGGTATTCTGAGGGCATAGGGATGGACGCCAGGTCGCAGTGCCCTTCTGCGGTGGGACCTCTACCATCAGTCGCGTTTTGACGTTGACCTGGAATCTCGCAAAATCTGCAAAATTATTCTCTTGCCGTGGATATGAAGTTTATTCCGCCCGCTGTCCCACGTGGTAGGCATAGAGGCCACCTTCTTTTTATGATGTCCCTTTAAACAAATAGCCGTAGAGCGGAGGAGGAACAGTGGTGCTCTCGCATCACAAGTATTACGGGATGGGATATTTACGAGTGTTCGCAATGCCGCTGTTTTGAGGAGCTCGGCGGAAGGCTTTTGAAGACAAACCCCGCGACTGCATGCTGTGCGTAGATGCGTTTAAAACAAACAAATAATTATCAAGTGATTCTCCAGGAAAAAAAAGCAAAAAAATCATGAACAGAGAAACGACCTCGTGGCAGCCGCACGAGTTCTCCGGACCTGCTCCTCTATGCCAGCGAAGCAAGATTCTGCCACCTCTGGCTCACTAGTGGTTTCTTCGGTCAACCATTGCCAATACATCCAATAGTGAAGAAAAGGGGAAAACACGCTGTAAAAGCCGAACTTGTGACAGGAAACAGCCTTTGAGTCTTGGTGGGCGGGGCCTCTAGGGACGCCTCAGAGCCGCCACTTATAAAGCCGTAGTGGCTTTCGCTACTCTCTGTGAAGCCGCGAAAGTAAGCAATCTAAAAATTGAAAGCAGACCACTTGCGCAAGGGAGACATCTACGAATTGCGTGAGCGCGGGGTCTCCTTTATTATTGCCACAACATGCTTAGCACTCATAGTTGGCTCTGCAAAGACGTAGCATGCACGTTGCAGAAGGTTTTGAGTGCCCAGGCCCTAAGAAAGAGCGTTTGGTGCCCGTGGTGTACGCGAAAACGTTTATGCGCTTGAAGGCAGTTGGCACGATAAATCCCCCAAGACGACTAGGATCAATACTCCTGGCAGGATAATTCCGCGACCCTGGGCAGGCGCTGCATAGCGGTTTCCCCGAGGAAGGTGCCCTTATAAGGGCCCTATCAAGCCACAACTTTACGTCCCAACGCCCATACACAATGG